TTGTTCCATTTACTGCTATTTCTCTAGCTCTTAGAAAAATGCCTGGCACATAATAAACACTCAGTAACTGTTTGCTGACTGAATGAATAAATGAAATTCCCCAAGGTCACAGAGCTGGTAAGCAGTAGAAATGGAATTTGAACCCTTTATACTCCAAAGTCTACAGATTTAATTGCTAAGTTATACTGCACATAATAGCTAATGATTTTTAATAAGATACAAATCTGATCAAAGGATTCCAGTGCTCTTCTCTGACAATGGGCCTCATGTAGTGATGGGGAAAAATGCCATTTGTCTTTACGTAAACAAAAATTAAGATTCCTTACAAGCAAAAATTACAAAAATGTATTCTTTTAGTACTAAAGGGAGCTGACCATTTGTACAATTGAGTATTTTATAGCAAAACAAACATACAAATAAAAAAAAGTTTGCAGAGAAATTTCAAAGGTAAACATCTAGTCTACATCTCATTGCTGTTGGATAGATACAAATTTGGTTATTGGGTTTTCCCAAAAGATGTTAATATTTTATTCCTGACTTCAGAGAACACATAAGTGGTGTCATTCATTCATTCATATATTTAGTCAACAATATTTATTAACCACACACTCTAACCAGCTATTCTTTTAGGGACTAGAGATACAGCAGAGAACAATTCTTACATTCTTGAAGAAGGGAAATAGTCAATAACAAAATAAACAAGGAATATATTATTGTCATAAAAAATAATGATTTTGACAATATATGGTCTTCGTAACTTACAACTCCTAAATCATTTAGAGTAGACTTGTATCACGGTGATGAAGAGCTCAGACTATGAAATCTTTGCTTTGAATCTTCCATTACAAGCTGTGCTCCTGGCAAATTAATCCTCAAGTCCTAGTTTTACAAATTGTGGATAACAGAACCCATCTGTGGTGAAATGAGTTCCTTTATGGGGCCTTTTGCCTTGGTTCTTTGGAAAAATAGCTCGAGAGATTTTTTTTTTCCCTAAACCTTGAGGAGTTACCTTTGCCCTAGTTTTCTGCCCCAGAGGGTTTGTTACTTTTGTTCAGGCTGACTGACATTTCCTGGGCAAGCTGTAAATAACTTGATGATCTGATACTTTTTGTCTAGCCCTGGGCTGCAGCCTCCCCTGTGATTCACACCTTGCAGGGATTGGTCAATATACTATAAAAATGAAGTGACTATAAGCTATGCAAAAGCAGTAATTGTAAACAATGCAAATGAAGTGACTATGATCCACCAAAGTGTTTGGTCAGTTTGTGGCCCTGCTGGGAGAGCCATGCCTTGAAATGGTCAAGGAGTTTGTGTACAGAAGCAGCCACACACGTAGAGGTTTCAGAAAGGAGAGAAAGCAAGAGAGGTGAGAAGAGAGAAGCAGCAGAGAGGGGAAGTGAAGAACTTCCTAAAAGGGCTGTAACACAGGTCAAGGGCTGTAACAGTGAAGACAGCTAGAGGCCTGGAAGGGGCCCTGTGGCATAGCCAGCAGCAGCAGGCCTGGAAGGGGCCCTGAGGCATATTCAGTGGTGATGGTAGAAACCTGCTGCTAGGAATGCAGCTAAGAGAGTTAAAAAAGATGCTACAGTGGCTATGAGCTGGGTCACTTAGCAGTGGAGAGGCTGAAGGCCGAGACGCCTGCATTGCTCAGAGGGGGCATGCACAGCCAAAAGGAGGCCTGTCCTGATTGGGCTGTGAGGAGGCCTGAATGACCGAGAGGGGGCGTGCATGGCACAGAGAAGGGCCTGCTTGCTTGCATGGCCAAGGGGAGCTGAGACATTTGTCCCGCAGTGAAGAAGGGTGGGATGTGCTCTCCACTTTGGGGTAGGCTTCCAGACTTTGCCTACATGCTTCTTGATCCTGATCCCGAGTTGTACCCTGTTACTTCCTTAATAAACCACTTAACTGTAAAGTACTGTCTGTGAGTTCTATGTGGTCACTGCAACAAACTACTGAACCCAGCAGAGAAATAGAGTGCTGGGGATGGGGTGGGGGTGGGTGGCTGGTGTCAGCAATGGTAAAGAAGTTGGAGAGTGGAAGCAGTCTGACTTCTACCTCATAGGAATTAGCTTTAGTCTGATCCTAATTCTTATCCCTAAGGAATCTAGACAAGTTCTGACACTACTACTACTATCTTACACCATCTTGCAAGGCTGATATAAAGATTAAAAGAGAAAATATATATAAAAACACTTGGTACAATACCTAGTACATACTAAATATCAACTAATGCTATTCTAATAAGGATACATATGGCAATCTAATTCCTCATTTTATGAAGACCAACTAAATCTATATGAAAGTCTTGGGCTTCATACTTAGAGGTAGTTTGTTTGTTTGGTAAACTACTGTGAGTCATTAATTCATTCATTAAACACATACTCATTAACAGTTCATGCATGTTACGGATTTTACTAGGTACTTGGAATGCAGGTATCCCCAGCTTCCGACAGAGCTCCGTTCCGATGATTCCTTTGTAAGTCGATTCTTATGTAAGTTAAATACCTCATTTTTTTTTTTTTTAGTTTTTGTTATTATTGCCTTTTATTATCAGTATCTTTATAAACGCAATCTTTGTCTTTGGAGACTGGAAACATTACAGCTAAGAATGATACATCCGCAAATTATACGCTGCAACACTGTATATTACTAGTGATAAGATGTACAAAAAAAAAAAAGATGGTCATAAGTGTGGCTTGTCATAACTTGTATCCACTGTAAGTCAGGGACTACTTGCACGCTGACACCAACTTCACTGTAGACCATGCCATAGCCTGCTATATGGTAGTGTTTGGGATGGTAAATCATAAAATTGAACATCTGTGAGTGAACATTTGAGAATGATAACATCAGCAAATCATGCACTGCAAAATTGTATGCAGTATGTATTACTAGCGATAAGACGAACAACAACAACAACAAAAAGAGATGGTTTTAAGTGTGGCTTGTCATAACTTGAATAAGTCTTAATTCGGGGACTACCTGTAAATCAGTTAACCTTGCTCTTTTGGAGTTTAAGTTGCTATGGAGGGCTTCGAACCGGTTCTTGCTGGTTCAGTCATGGCTGAGGAAGCAAAACTGGAACAGGCCTAAATTTTTAAAATTTGAGTGAACCAGAATGATAACCAGAATGGGAAAAAATACAAATCGAAGTCCCTCTAGAAACCTAATCTCCATCTTAGAAAACAAGGGCAGCATAGCAACCAAATCTCTTGCCCCCCAGATGTTGAGCAGAGTCGGAAACAGCAGTGCCTTGCTCAAAGATGGTGCCCGACTGCTCTGCTTTGAATGGGTGTCCCTCTCCACAGTCCTGTCAATAAACCAATCTCACGCATCAGGCTCCTGAAAAGGCTCACTACACCTCCTCCGAGTCTCCCATTCCAGGACTTCAACTTGTAATTTTTCCCATTCTGGTTATCGTTCCAGATCACCCACACTTAAAAATTAGGGTCTGTTCTGGTTTTGCTTCATCAGCCGTGACTGAACTGGTTTGAAGCCCTGTTGCCTAAGTACTGGATTTATGAGAGCAAATTGAAGAGGTACATAATTTTTCCACAATAAACAATGACTTCAAATCACCCAATATTTACTAAGTGCTATTATACACAATCCCTCTAGTGGAGAAGCACTGCACTCAGACAATGATAAAGGAATAAAGTTTACCAGCAACTGCAAGGCTAGAAAGGCCTGGAAGCAAAGTAGGAGAAATCCCAGGGGCCTACTGGTGTCCTCTCATGAGCCGACTTCCAAAATATATTCCCCTATAGAATCTAAGTTTCTTGAGGGCAGCAAAGGCCAGAGCCTACATAGATTAATGGCACATAAAAAAAAACCAAACCTGCTGCTGTCAAGTCGATCTCAACTTACAGTGATCCTATAGAAAAGACTAGAAATGCCCCACAGGGTTTCCAAAGCTGTAATCTTTTATGGAAGCAAACTGCCACATCTTCCTCCTGCAAAGTGGCTGTTGAGTTCAAACCATCCACCTTTCTGGTTAGCAGCCAAGCGCTCAAGCACTGCACCACCAGGGCTCCTTTCATGGCACACAGTAGATACTTTATAAGTAGTTGTTAAATGAATTAATAAATATTCCAGATCCTCATTCCTACCATCTTAGTCCAAGACACAATCATCTCTTTCCCGTGCTACTAGTTTCCTAACTGGCCTCCCATACTACTAAATAGTTTCCTAACTGGCCTCCCAGCTTATGCTTCTGCCCCATTAATCTATTCAAATAACGATCAGTTATCTTTTAAAAACGTAAATTAGATTAGGTTACTCTGTTGCCTAAATGGCTCCAACTGTTTTCCATCACACTTAAAATCCAAACTTCTTCCAAGCCTTCAATGTTCTGTATGATTCGGCCACTGCCTGCCTCCATAGCTACTCCCCTTTCTTCCTGAACTGCAACCAGCCCTGTTCGTTTGTACGGGAGGGTCTCAGCTGTTCCCTTGGCTTGAAATCCTTTCCTGTGGCTCACTGCAGGCTGGAGTTTAAGCAGCCTACGTTAAAGCCGCCTCCTCACACAGTATCACATTATACTGTTTTATTTTCTTCTTGGCCATTAAATCACCATCTGAAATTATCTTGTTCATTTCGTTAACTATTTATCTTCTAACGTGTTTCCACCTAGAATCTATAAGCTTTGTGACAGCACTGTTCCCTTGTTACCCTCCAGTCAAAGCACTGTTGAATTACTAAATGAATGAACCTCCCTGACCTGTGTCTTTTTCTCTTTAAATTCTGGAAATACAAAAGCACCCCCAGGGACGAGAGGGAGATGCAGGAAAAACGCCCCGTCGCACTAGAACCCAGGGACATGAGACCCTACGCCTCCGCTAACGCGATTCCTTTTAGCTTCCACAAGGGGGCGCGGCCGCCGGCCACGCCTCCTCCCTCTCCGCCGTTCATCTAATCCCGCTCAGCTTCCACTAGGGGACGCGCCTCGCAGAGCGGGATCTTCTCCGCCTCCATGCCCGCTCTCTCACCACGCTGCTCACCTGATTCCCTCTCTGCTTCCATCAGGGGGCGCGGCTCGGAGGGCCGGGCCTCTGCCGCGGACCTTTTCAGCGCAGCCAGCACCGTCTCAGGGGGCAAGTCGATCAGCTGCTCCCACAGAGACTCTGTGTAGAAGTCTACCGTATGCGCATTGGAAATGGGCAGGGAATCCTTCAAGAACCGCAGCAGCCCCTGCAACTTGGCACGCAGCGTGGGCAGATCCGGGGTTACTGGGAGTGGGCAAGAAGCCGCCATGACGCTCACCCTCCTGGGCTGTAGGTGGCGCAAACGTGGCCGTGAGGCTAGGGCTCGGCACACTGTGGCACAGGCCCGGTAAATCGAGCTCCGAGCGAGACTCTAGCTGGACGATTGATTGCTTCAGCTTGATGACGTATTTTGGAGCGTCGGTTGTACTTCTCTGGTGACGGAGGTGGTCCGCCATGGCGCAGGTGAGGCTGGCAGCAAATAGGCACGCAGGGAGTTTTGGGACGCGTGGCGAAGAGGTTTCTTCGGTCGAATTCAAGAAGAAGAATGTGAAGCAGAGGACGTGGCGGACTAATCATCGGAAGACCTTTGTGGGGAGCGTACGCGAGGGTATGTAAGACGGCAGCCTTTTGAAAGTCCTTAGGCCTGCGAGGTTTTAGGACACGCGACCCGCTGAAGCATGAAAGGATTTAGGAACAAGACCCGATTCTACTTGGGGCACAGAAAACCCGGTGAAGTTGTGAGCTAGGCTGAGCTCTGGATGGGAAGACGTTCAGTGTTGCTAACCTTAAATCTTGAAACGTCTTCTCGAACTTGACTCTCTTCTTGATTTTCGTATTTTCCTAGTGAAACCGTAATCAGAGAGCGTCTACTGCCCACTTGTGTATTGTGTATATGAATTTATGTGTTACGGTAGATGATAGAAGGTGGTGGTTTATAGAAGGTTGTTGACAGGGTGGCCTCAGCGGATTCCAATTCATGGTGACCCCATGTGTGTAAAGTAGAATTGCTTCATAAGAGTTTTCAAGGCTGAACTTTCGAAAGCAGTTCGTGAGGACTGCCTTCTGAGGAGCCTCTGGGTGGGCAGCCTTTCCGTTAGCATACTGTCCCAAACTCCTGTTGACTACAAATACCCCGGCAGCACTCCAGTCTTTTTTTTCCTTTCCTTTACTTTAGTTTGTTTTTGTCTTTCTGTGTTGCTGTTTGTTAAATTACCTCAAATCCTATTTGGAATGTATGAAATATTAAGTATTCTGATAATTGTTAGCTGTTCAGAAAGTCATAGACCATATTTTTATTTTGTGTTGATGTATTTTTTAACATTAGTCATAGAAGTTTCTCTGAGGTAAAAGAGTAAATGTGAGTTTTTGGCCTCTATTTTAAAGTTTTTATTGAAGACCCAGATTATTTTAGATGAATTAAGGAATTTATTTTGATTTGTGAATACAGTAAACAGCCAGAATTGATCAGTTTTCCTTCTTGAGACTATTGGTTGGGCGTCTACATTGACTAACGTTAGCTTGGTCTTTTTGCAAAAAGTCAACATGCTGTTCGATCCATCATCTTGAATTTGTTTCCAGAAATAATTCTTTAAAGCAAAAAAAGTTTTTCATTTTTAAATGAACAGCCACATTTTTCATGCAACTTACCACTTTCTGTGAAAGTAATTTATGACTGATGTTTTTCAATGCAGGACAAGGCTTTGCACTTCGAAGAAAGCTGAAGGTACAGCAGAGTTACAAGAAATTGCTATGGAAGGAAAAAAAGGCTCAAATCTCACAGGATTCCCAGTTCACAGATCGATACCCAGATCATCTGAAACATCTCTATTTAGCTGAAGAGGAAAGGCTCAGGAAGCAACTTAGAAAAGTTCCGCGGCCTTTGCCAGAAGAACAAGTTAACCAGCCTTTGCGAGAGGAACAAGTTGACCAGCCTTTGCCAGAAGAACAATGTAGCATTGACCAGCCTCTGCCAGAAGAACAATGTAGCAAAACAGTAAAGTATGCTTTTCCTTTTTTGAAATCCTTTACTTTTTAAATGTAAGTAGTGTTTTATTAAAGGGATGGTAAGGCAAATTTATGTAGAAATCGAAATCGTTCTTATTTAAGACGTTTCAGAAGTTAGTGTGATTAGGTGAAAATATTTTTATGGAGGCTGTCTTTTTAATTTAAATGACTGAATTAGGTAATGTAGTTTCATTGAAAAGATAATGAAATGGTGATTAAGAGATCTGGGTTTTGAATTTTTTCTTTTCAAGTACATTTAACTTTCTTGGACTACAGTTAACTCCTGTTAGTAATATTTTTTAAAAAAGCTAATTTTTGAGATGTGTCATACTGTAGAGATTAATAGCATGGACTCTGGAGCTGGACTTAACATGTTGGTACCTCAGTGTCCTTCTCTCCAAAGTAGGAATAACTGAAATAAGTACATAAGCACGTAGTTGGTGATAAAGACAGAGACATGAAAAATTTAGATTTGTCTATCATATTATTAAATAATGTATGTAATGCTCGGGTAAGAGATTAGCACTAGACATGTAGATTTGAATTATTCCTGGTGATAAGTGAAGTGCGGAGGGTTAAATTGTGAAACAATATATCTAACAAGGTAAAAATTATATTTTGAAAGATTATTTTGAGGAGAGAGCAGGAAAAAGTCATTGAAGAAGTTAAATAGAACTTAAAAATAAGGGAGTATAGTGACAGCTAAGTCAACAGAGGGAAGTTTTGAGAAGTAAGGATTGATGAACTATCAAAACACTATTAAGTTCAAGGAAAACAGGATTGAGAACAGGGCTTTGAATTTGTGGATTTGTGGACTGGACAATCATTGGTGACTTTAGAGAGAAGATTTTCAATAGAACGGTATGGGGGATAATTCTGATCAAGTTTTCAGTTGTACATATGTGTGGCACCAAAGCCATGATCATGAATATGACTGCCAAAGGAAGTGTGGAGATAAGACGAACAGCTTGGGGAAAAACCTTGGAAGAGAAAGAGACGCTAGCCACTCAGACTAAGAAGGAGCGGTTAGAAAGGATCAGGAGATAAGATTGTTACCAAAATTAAGGGAGAGGAGTTTTCAAAAGTACTGAATGATCAGTTAAATGAAGACTGAAAAGTGCCGTGATCATCATGTTTGGCTAGAACATCATCACATCTTGGGAAGGGCAGTTTCATCGAAGTGATGAGAGCAGAAATCAGATTGCAGAGTTAAGGAGTGAATGGAAAATGACACTGTAGAAATAATAATTGCAGTTTATTCATTCTTCTTCCTAGAAACTTAACTGTGAAAGGACAAGGAGTGAGAGATGGGTAGCTAGAAGGAGACATAGGGTCTGATGACTGGTAATTTATTGATTTATTTATTTTAAGAAGGGAGCTACTAAAACATTTTAGTTAGTGTAGTAAAAAGTTGAAAGACAGGAAAGGAAGATTATGGCTGAATCTGGGCCCAAGTGGTTGGATTAGCCTTGTGTGGGCTAGATACCTTCAGAGAGTTGAGAAGTACTTCAAGATAGAACAATTCTAAATGGAGACTAGGTTCAAGGTATGGTTATTCATGACTGAGTAGATGAAATGGGCTCAGTCCATTGATCAAAGAACTTTGAGATTAAAGTTTATGTAAGCCTGTACACCTGCAGCTTTTATAACAACGTCCTTCAATTTAATGCTTTTTTCAAACTCATTCTTGTTTCTGGGTTTGTTTGTTTTTTAACATTTTGAGATCTCTCAAAGCTTTTTGTATTTTCCCTGGTTGAAATATTTCTCCAGCAATTTCCATTTTGTTGTTGGATGCAGTCAAGTCAATTCCTGTAGTGACCCTGTGTGACAGAGTTGAATTGCCCCATAAGGTTTTCTTGGCTGTAATCTTCACAGAAGCAGATCACTAGGTCTTTCTCCCACAGAGTGGCTGGGTGCGTTTGAACTGCCAACTTTTAGGTTAGCAGCAGAATATTTAATTGTTGCGCACCAGGGCTCTTTATAACTATATTTTTAAAATATTTTTACTTGGACATTTTACTAATGAAATAATGTCCTGTATATCCACCTCCCGCCCTGCCAACAATTAACACTAGTGAGACTTTTCTGTACAAGTACTATATCTGGCATAAGCATATCATAGTTTTGGTTATGTTGTTTTTAGTTCTTGTGACTTATTTGTGTTAATTTATCTTGTAAAGCTCCTTTGCTACCCGAAATAAAAATAGAAAGAAAACGTCCAATCAAAAAGCACAAGAAGAATACGCACAGATACAAGCCAAGCGTGCTGCTAAGAAACAAGTAAGTTCTACTTTTTAAATATTTAGCTCCATTTTTACTTACTTTAAGTGTACAGGCAGACTGTGTTTCTAAGTGTCATGCACATAATATGCCTTCAATAAATATTTGTTGGTTGAATGAATGATCTAAACCAAGTTGACTTTCAACATTCAGATTCTTTGATTGTTTATATTATCTCAAAGAGGTGATACTAGTAGGTCAAGCAAAGAGTTAACTCATAGGTTAGTAATTGGAGCACTTGGGAAGGTGTTTCTCAGAGTATGGTCCAGGAACCTACATTTTTTACAAGTACCTCATAAGATTCTTATGTGTAATAGTATTTGAGAACCACTGAGCTAAGAAAAATAGAGATGATTTTCATAATTTTACATTGAAATAAGTAAGCCAGAGGGGAGGAGTTAGAATATTTTAAAATATATCTTTGCTGTAAAGAGTTGGTCTCGCCTATTGAAAAGCCTGCTAGCTTAACTTAGCAAGAAGTTCACACACTCTATGATCATTCAAGAACCTAAAGTTCTGATAGACATTTTTAAATTAGTAGAACAAAATTATCATTTTGTTGACACTGGATAATTCTTGTTTTCCATAGTGAAGCTTTCTTGATCCTATCATTTCAAAAGAATAGCACATCAATCAAAAATACCCCAAAGGTGGCACTTAAATATTTTCCTTTATGTTTTTGCTTTAGAATTTGTATAATTAAGAAATTTGGAAGTTTAACATCTGAAATTTTTATGATCTTAAACTGGTGGCAGAGTAGGATGAAGCAGAAACATTTCTCTATGGAATACTGGATCTTTCCTGCATAGCTTGTTACCATATGCTTTCATCTAACCATCTGGAAATAGTATATACCGCATTAAGCTACTTTTGGAAGTAGTATACCAGATGAAATACAGTAAGGACCATTATGCTGTAAAACATTTAATATTTTAAAATTTCGTTATATAAACCTAGGGTTTCAAGTATAATCATGAAAATTGACATTTTCTTAAAATGTCCAGATTCCAAATGTTAATACAAAAGCCAGTGCCATTACCCATGAAAAATCAAATATGTTAAGGGTCCATAATTGATGGTAAGAATATTGAACTTTTGGCTTTGTTTAGAGAAACTCCATAGGTATAAACTAGACTCAGTATACCTAAATTCACAAATAAGTTCCGGATCTTTATGTGTGTGTTAAAACAAACAAGTTCTATATCATATGAGATACAATTTTAAGTGATATAGTCTAGTGTAATGGGAAGTTGCACAGACTTTGAATTCAAGATATGGATATGAGACTCACCCTACCAGTGATTTGGGACGTCGAGCGAGTCACTTTCATGTCACGCTGAGCACCATCAATTCTACATCTGTAGGAAAAGAGTAATCTTCATACCTAAGTTTTAAAAGAATGGAATGTGCTATGATGTAAGTGAAAGCATTTTATAAGTTAGATATCACTATAGTAATATGTTTGGGGGCTGTATGCGTTTATAGGGGAAATCAAAACACAATTCACTTATTACATTATTTAAGAACTTTTGTTTAATTTTTATATTTAGTAAGAAAATATCAGTGCATTTTGCATAGTGTTTTTCAGGTCAGTGTATAGCTTTGAATTATTTTTCTCATACTCAAAACATTTGAGTCTTTTAGCGAATCAAATGAGCATGATAATGCTTTTAAATATTCAAAATAAAAATCCTTAGCAAAATGTTTTGAACATACATAGCCAATAAATGCTTTTTGAATTAAACCTATAAATTAGTCAGATGAAGAAAGGGATACTAGATACAGCTTTCTGGAAAGAAAGATTTCAGTGCTAGGTGAAAATTAGACTATTACAACCTTTAAAGTCCTTTCTAAAACTCTTTTAGGGTGTATGACTAAATGACTCCAGCACCCTGATCTGTAAGATTGAGTAATAGCCAAATGAAGAAGCAACAAGATGCCATAGATACAACTTAATAGTAAAATCATTATGTAAAATATATGCCTTCTCTTGTTATTTACACACCAGTAAATAGTTTTTTCATAACTTCACATTATTTCATGTTGTAGCATGAAGGCAAAGAGGTATATCCTGCTTCAATTACAGGAAACAGTTCATATTTTGCAAATTATAAGAGACCAACAAAGTATTTGCTTGGTGATAGCTATTTTAAAATAATATCTGAACTATATTAGCTGTTTGTTACTAATAAAAATCATGTTAATAATTTCAGGAATTTGAGAGGCGAAAACGAGAGCGAGAAGAAGCTCAGAGGCTCTACAAAAAGAAGAAAATGGAAGTGTTCAGAATATTGAGCAAAAAGACTAAAAAGGGCCAGCCAAATTTGAATGTACAAATGGAATATCTTCTTCAAAAAATACAAGAAAAAAATTAAATCAGACGTTTGTCCTTAAGGATTAAAATATCTGCTGTCTTGTCTGTTGAGTTCTTTTGTACATATAATGTGTCTCCTAACAATTAACTAAATATGTGAACATAAACTGGATTGCTAAGCTATGAAAAAAATCAAACCAAACCCACTGCTGTCGAGTTGATTCCAACTCAGTGACCTTATAGGACAGAGTAGAACTGCCCTATAGGGTTTTCAAGGCTGTAAATCTTTACAGAAGCAGATTGCCACATCTTTCTCCCATGGAGCAGCTGGTGAGTTTGAATCACAGAACTTTTGGTTAGCAGTCGGGTGCTTTAACCACTGTGCCAAAATATCACGAATATTTTTGTTTTGTAAAAGAAAATTTTCTATATATGTTCTGCATAGTAGGATTTGTTTCTTTTTCATCTGCTTCTCGAGGAAGGTTGGCCTGAAGAACTGAAAAAATCTTCTATTTGGGAGATAGGCTCAAACATACAATGTCTTTGTACCATACAAAGTTTGTATGAAATGTTTTAAAAATAAAGGAGCAGAGCTTGCAGTGAAGCATTTTAATGAAATGTTTCTGTTTAGTGATCAGCTATTACGGTTTTAAAATTCATTTTAATGATGGAGGCAAACACTCCCCCTTGGACTTTTTAAAGTAAGTACGTTTTACAAGGTGATGTACTTTGCAGAAACGTTAGCGCAGAGGTTTTATTCACGACACTTGAGTCCTGACACTGCCTTCTACCCCCACCGTATAAGGTTGTGGTCTTCATAAAGCAGAATTTGGTTTAAAAACTCTGATATTTATAAACATTTCCTTAAATGGAACCACATAGCTTGTAAGTGTAAAATCTTTCAAATGGTGATGGAAACCGAGCAGTGTCACAGAAAGAATTAAGGTTTCTGGATTCTGTGGGACCCTGGACTTTTAAGAACATTGTCACTGGAACATGTTACCCTATTGGTATCCTTGTGAGCCAAGAGAAGCTGCTGGGATGCTACTTCTGCCTTTGCTGTTTGCTTCCTCCTTGGCAATAATTGCAAAATGAGACATGCTTGACAATCATTACAAGCAAAACAACTGTGTAATAGTCATTTGTAAATCGTGTTGCATAATAAAATTGTACAGATGGTAACAAATGCAGCCTGAAGTTGCGTTATGGATCTAGGAAGTCCTTGCAGGTTTTAGATACATTCTGCATTTGAAAATGCCACAGATGAGTCCACCCAGAGAAACCTTGGAAGAAAGGCCTGGTAATCTGAAAAATAAGCCACTGGAGGCTAACTGGTTAATTCTAACACTTAGAGGGGAACCTAGAGAGAAACACATTGCATTGTAAAAGGGCCAGGTCCATATAATGACAGACAAAAATGGAGTAGGATATGCTGACAAAACGCTGAATTTATTAAAGAAGAGCCATTCTTTCATTGCATGGGAAAACATAATACTAGAGATTGGTAATACATTATATTGCATTTAAAATAAGCAGCCCAAGTAGAGTAATTTTGGCCACATTGGTGAAGAGAGTACATAATGAAGCAGAGTAAAATATTTCAGTGGATTGCTTTATGATTATTTCACATATTTCTTATAGACACTTCAGTAAGGTACAACAAAATGGGAAGAGTTCTAGTCATTTTGAGAAGTAAGGGTACGTACTACTAAATCACCAACTTTTTATTGAAAGCTGTTATATGCAAAGTTGATGTTGAGTCGTTGGGGAAAAAAAATTGCTTCTCCAAGGATCGTACAGGGGCGTAAATGTAAATAACCAACTCATGGCATAGTACAAAAAGTAGTGACAATAAGGTACAAACAAAAGGCTTAGACTTTAATGCACTGGAGAATAACCCAGGGAGCATCTTAAAATGGGCATTCAAGGACACTACCCTCAGACATTTAGATAGCATGGTTGGACTCAGTAACTGACGTTTTTCAAAAGCAAGCAACCCCAGTGATTGTGTTGTGGTTGGTCCTCACCAAACTTTGCAAAGCATTGGACCAGCGCGTCAAAGGACAGAGGTTTTATCTGGTTGAAATTACAGAGTTTCACGAATGAGATGGCATTTGAGAAGAGTCTTAAAACTGAGAAGAGCATTTGAGGTGATAACATGAGGAAATTTCCAAAGGGAAGAAAGCTTGGCATTCATTTAAAAGTCTAAAAAATAAATTATAAAAAGATAGTATATTATTATTGTCATTGCTATTGTGGGATAACACTTCCTATCCATTGATCATAATACTTTGTCTCCTCGAGCCGCCCTTTGAAATCTTCTGTTCAGCTGTTTTACTTCAACATTTTTTCCTTTTGCTTTAGATACACGATGTTCAAAAGCGAGTTTCAAAGTCTCTTCTGACATCCCTTTAGGTCTTTTCTTTCTCTCCTGTCTTTAATGACCCCTTGCTTCACGTATGATGTCCTTGATGTCATTCCACAATTCTTCGGGTCTTCAGTCAGTAGTATTCAATGTGTCAAATCTATTCTTGAGATGGTCTCTAAATCCAGATGGGATATACTCAGGGTCGTACTTTGCCTCTCATTGACTTGTTCTAGTTTTCTTCAGTTTCAACTTCAGCTTGCATATAAGTAGTTGATGGTCTGATCTGCAGTCAGCCGCTAGCCTTGCTCTGATTGATGACATTGAGTTCTTCCATCATCTCTTTCTACAGATGTAGTCCATTTGATTCCTGTGTATTCCATCTGGCAAGGTCCATGTGCATAGTCGCCATTTATGTTGGTGAAAAAAAGTATTTGCAATGAAGAAGTCATTGACTTCGCAAAATTCACTCATGCGATCTCTGGCATTGTTTCTATCACCAAGACTATATTTTCCAACTACCGATCCTTCTTTGTTTCCAACATTCACATTCCATCAACAGTGATTATCAGTGCATCCTGATTGCATGTTTGATCAATTTCAGACTGCAGAAATTGGTAAAAATCTTCAATTTCTTCATCTTTGGCGTTAGTGGTTGGTTTGTAAATTTGAATAATAGTCATATTAACTAGTCTTCCTTGTAGGTGTGTGGGTATTATCATATCACTGACAGCGTTGTACTTCAGAATAGATCTTGAAACGTTCTTTTTGACAATGAATGCAATGCCATTCCTCTTCAACTTGTCATTCCTGGCATAGTAGACCATATGATTGCCCAATTCAAAATAACCAATACCAGTCCATTTCAGCTCACTAATGCCTAGGATATTGATCTTTATGCATTCCATTTCATTTTTGATGATTTCCAATTTTCCTAGATTCATACTTCATACAATCCGGGTTCTGATTACTAATGGATGTTTGCAGCTGTTCTCATTTTGAGTCATGCTGCATCAGCAAATGAAGGTCCTTGAAGCTTGACTCCATCCACGTCATTAAGTCAACTCTACTTTGAGGAGGCAGCTCTTCCCTAGTCGTATTTTGAGTGCCTTCCAACCTGAGGGGCTCATCTTCTAGCACTATGATGACATGTGCAAAGACCTGGAGATAGAAAACCAAAAGGGAAGAACATGCTCAGAATTTCTCAAGATGAAAGAACTGAAGAAAAAATTCAAGCCTCAAGCTGCAATACTGAAGGATTCTGTGGGGAAAATATTAAACGATGAAGGAAGGCATCAAAAGAAGATGCAAGGAATACACAGAGTCACTGTTCCAAAAAAGAATTGATTGATGTTCAACCATTTCAGGAGGTAACATATGACCAGGAACCAATGGTACTGAAGGAAGAAGTCTAAGGTGCACTGAAAGCATTGGCAAAAAACAAGGCTCCTTGAATTGACGAAATACCAATTGAGATGTTTCAACAAACTGATGCAGCATGGAAGTGCTCACTCGTCTATGCCAAGAAATTTGGAAGACAGCTACCTGGCCAACCGACTGGAAAAGATCCATATTTATGCCTATTCCCAAGAAAGGTGATCCACCCGAACTCAGAAATTAACAATATCATTAACATCATATGCAAGCAAAATTTTTCTAAAGATCATTGAAAAGCAGCTGCAGCAGTGTATCAACAGGGAACAGGCAGAAATTCAAGCTGGATTTAGAAGAGGACGTGGAACCAGGGATATCATTACTGACGTCAGATGGATGATGGCTGAAAGCAGAGAATACCAGAAAGATGTTTATCTGTGTTTTATTGACTGCAAAGGCATTCGACTGTGTGGGTCATAATAAATTATGGATAACATTGTGGAGAATGGGAATTCCGGAACACTTAATTGTGCTCGTGAGGAATCTGTACATGGATCAAGAGGCAGTCATTCAAACAGAACAAGGGGGAGTACTGCATGGTTTAGTCAGGAGAGGTGTGCATCAGTGTTGTATCCTTTCACCATACCTGTTCAATCTGCATGCTGAGCAGATAATCCAAGAAGCTGGACTGTATGAAGAAGAACGCGGCATCAGAATTGGAGGAAAACTCATTAACAACCTGCGTTATGCAGATGACACAACCTTGCTTGTTGAAAGTGAAGAGGACTTGAAGCACTTACTGATGAAGATCAGTGACCACAAACTTCCGTATGGATTATATGGATAACACCTCAAAAAAAAAAAAAAAAAAAAAAAAAAAAAATTCTCACAACTGGATGAATAAGCAACATCATGATAAGCAGAAAATATTGAGGTTGCCAAGGATTTCATTTTACTTGAATCCACCATCAACACTCATGGAAGCAGCAGTCAGGAAATCAAAAGACACATTGCACTGGGTAAATATGCTGCAAAAGACCTCTTTAAAGTGTAGAAAAGCAAAGAAGTCACCTTGAAGACTAAGGTGCACCTGACCCAAGCCATAGTGTTTTCAGTTGCCTCATATGCATGTGAAAGCTGGACAATGAACAAGGAAGACCAAACAAGAATTGACACATTTTAATTGTGGTGTTGGTGAAGAATATTGAATATACCATGGACTTCCAAAAGAACGAACAAATCTGTCTTGGAAGAAGTACAACCAGAATGCTCCTTAGAAGCAAGGATGGCGAGATTACATCTCAACTTTGGACATGTTGTCAGGAGAGATCAGTTTCTGGAGAAGGACATCAAGCTGTAAAGTAGAGGGTCAGCAAAAAAGAGGAAGACCCTCAATGAGATGGATTGACACAGTGGCTGCAACAGTGGGCTCAAGCATAGCAACAATTGTGAGGATGACACAGGACCAGTCAGTGTTTCGTTCTGTTGTGCATAGGTTTGCTATGAGTTGGAATTGACCCAATGTCGCCTAATAACAACAACATCTATTGATGTT